GAGGGGTTTTGCCCGGACGCCGGGTTTCCCCTCCATATGTTACCATGTTGGTATTTTCTGATGTATCCTGGGGCGTTCTTGCCCAATTGATGGTTAGTCACTTGCGTGAAGAACCAGGGAGGGTGTTCGTGAGTCTGCGAACATTGCTGTTGGATACATGTGCTGGATGATTTTGTGTCACGCAGACTGGTAAGATAACCGTTTGATAGGGGGCACCGCGATGATTCACGGGGCCCCTCCTTGCTGTGGGAGCCGCTCTTTGAGCACTCCCTCTTTCGTCCGTGTGAAGGATGGTCGTCTACCTCCCGTGAAGTTAATACATCACCAAAACAGTCTCACCCGATAAATAAGTGGCGTAGGCCGCAAACACATCCTACCGCCCTTGCGCACCTTCATTCACTCGGGAAGGCAGCACTGACAGCAGGTGCAAACGAACACGATCGCCGTCACCGGGAACGCAATCCACGCCACGTTTGCGAGCCCCCGGAACTTGTCCTCGTCCTTCTACAGTTTCTCCTTCTTCCTCTGCAACTGCTCGACCTTGGCGCTCTTGATGCGGTCATGCTGGATGGACATTTGCATGTCCATGTTAGCCGCCTGGGTGAGGATATCTGGAGTTTTCGTTTGGAGAGATGGGTTGGGCATTTGCGATCAAATATCGCAGAGGACAAAGTATTCACAGCTGCGAAGAGTGAGAACAACACATGCGTCGTACTATTGATGTCCAAGTACGTGCGATATCGCGAACGGGGCTTTACCGGGATGTGCCGGAGGGTTTGGCTTGCTCGCCCGAAATCGACACTGCCATTGCTTTCCTGGGTGTTCCGGGTTTCGTCGTCCGTAACGGCGGGATTCATTCATTAGGATATCGTATCGAACCTTTCGGTACATCGTATCGACTCGTTGCATCGATATCGATCAATCGAAAACGGTCATCACATACAGCAGCATGGTCATGTTTCAGCTTTTAATGCCATGAAGGACGCCACAAATTACGTACGATTTTCTGGAGCTGCTATCCTTTCATTTGTTTCTCTGTAAAAGTTGGGCTTCTACGACAATGGTGCACATCTATAGTCTAGCGGGACGTGGGAAACGGCTGAGCTTGGTTACACGGAATGATAAAACCCTTCCTTGCTGAAATGATTTCCCACACGTTATCCTTCACATAGCAAACTGTACACAGCCGGTTTCGGAGATCATTGACTCTCGGTAATTGTGAGTTGGGAAGGACATGAAGCGCATTTGCTTTTTTTTTTGCTTCTGGCGGTGCCTCCGGCGTGGCACCACCACCAGCAAGGCCGGGGAGGGGGGCGCTTGGGCTCGCACAGCAGGCTTCCGCGCCTTACCGGGTCATTTTAATTCCTTGCCGGCTCGCTGCGCCCGCGGTCGATCGCATGGACTACTGAATCGATGTTTACCAAGGTTAGCTCTACACATACATGTACTGTACATTTCTTCATGTAGTATGGAACTATCAAAATTAAATGCTCGGTCCAAGCGGAACAACAACTCTCCGCGAAACGAAACGAAACGAATCGATCCATATATTCATTCAAACCAGGTTGTGTGTGGTGTTTTTTCGCGTGCCGCTCCTCCTTCACAGACGGGCGATGTAGCCCAACACTACACAACTGCATAGAATATTCCGAAGCACGCAATCGCTTTGCGTTGCATATCTCGTATCTATCTGACGTTTGGACCGTGCGGCTTCCTGAAGGTTTCCCTACTGCCGGACGAGCTCGATTTCTTCCGCAGCGCGAACATCCCTAAGCTTTGCCTCATTGTTGGCCGCCGCCCTCTGCTGCGTCATGGTGGCTCAGCTTGATACCGGGGAAGGTCTTTTCACAACCGCGTACATGTAGGACAGCCTCCTTCGACTCACTCGACCATTCGACAGACAGCAGTTCCCGGAGCAACAACGGAAGCAATAGGGTATCAACGCTGCCACGCACCTTGCCTCGGGTGTTCAGCTGGAGCACCGACTGCATTATGTCCAAATTGGGTGGGCCACAACCCATATTTCCATCTTGTGTGTATCTCCGGACAATATAGTTGGTTGGTTGGGTGGTATTTCCGTACCCGCACATACATAAATACATGTGCAGACAACCAGTGGGTATGGAATCTAGGCTTGGGCTACAACGTAATGAAATCGCCTCGTCGGGTGTTCCACCTATCTCATACCGTAGTGATGTATGTGGCATACCATTCATGTGATGAATGTCGAGAGGATATATATGACGCTTAGTTTTCTGTTTTTGGTGTGTTCAAACTCCATGGTAACACAACGAACCGTGTGGCGCTGCGGAATTAGCACGTCGGCCGGTTGACATACCGCGGTCCAGCACTCCATTGTGCAGTTGTCCACCGGATGATGCCAGAAGACGATACACACGACAATAAAGCACAGACCGCATCAAGATGCGTGCACTGCACGATTTGGGAATACCACAATTATTATTGCTGTGGAACGGGAGGTACGACGCCCAGCTAAATTCGTCGCTGTCGCTCACGGGTTTGGTGGCAATCTCACAAACGTTGGTGCTTGTAATTTCTCCTGGACATAATCGCTTCGACTCTACTGCCGAAAGGTAAACAGTTGAAACCGGTGCACACGGCCGCCCGTAACGTCCCCCCCAGCATAGACCGTTAGGTTAAGTCGTGGCCGTACGGGATTGATATTTCCCAGCCAAGATGAAGTCTGGGTCTCCCCCTGTCGAAACGAAGAGGACGCCACACTACTACACGTTCTCCCACTGCCAGCACCGCCAGCACACACCCCCAGGCTCCCGGACGACAGTCGGCGGGCTCACGACAGTGGTAGCAGTCCGTCGTTCAGGTCAAGCAAAGGAGGACCGTCGGGCCGCGACGCCAATGTCCGTATTCATATCCCTTTTCGTAGGCACCTTCCAATCTCCGCCCGGGTACTCGACGCGCCATTAAGGGTCGCAGTAACCGAAGACGGTCGGCCCTGAAAACCTAGAGGTGGCCACCGCCGTCGGCGAACTCACGGCCGGCCGGCGTACCCACCGGGAAGAGCTGAAGCGTGCTCCCTGGACGCCACTTCGCGTTCGCCCCGGGTAGGTGACCCTGCCGGTGTGGGGTCATGCCCTCGCCATGTTAGGTTGCGTACAGTGCGTGAAAGACGCCAGTTGGAGCGGCGAAAAGAACTCGCCAGCCTCGTCCTCCGTCATCCAGGGCGAGAGCGAGTGCGTACCATCCTGGTAGCCGCCTTGGTACTCCCAAGTCCACCTCGGCGTGTTGCCGATTGTTGGCCAATTCGCCAGCGGGTGCGCGTTGAAGATATGGCCGTGCTGTAACGGTCCCAAGCAGCAGTTTATCTTTGTCGACAGCATGAATGAAGTTCAGCACGATCCACGATCCATGATCCGACGACGACGGGGTACCGCAGTAAATGTTCCTCCGCGTTCATCCACGATCCCGGGCGGTTTTTCATTCCACCGTGCACCACCAAGGTATCCACCTCATCTCACGCCCAAACTACGTGTGTTTGTGTAGTGTGTGGTCACTTGGCTAGCGAGTGTGCTTTGAAGACATACCGGTGTGGTACCAGTCTCCAACAACATGCCCTCAGCAACAGCAGCCGAAGAAAAGGAGTGGACGGATCCACGAATGGATCCGACGGGAAAACGTTTCACGCTACAGCCGACCAGCGGAGCGGACCATGGGGCAGGCAGATTTTCATGTACATGTAGCATTCCAAGGCATGTGTCGCACAACGGGACCGTTTTCATGCTCATGCTCGGGCACACCACAGCCTGCGTGTTTGCTGCACGCCGTTGTAATTTTAGGCCGAGCACCGTTGGCACGAACCAACGACCATCCACCATCCACACACGCCAGACACGCAGCTTGAGCATCAGGCCCGGCTAAATCAGCCATCTGATTTGACACGGAACCCCAGTGAGCTGGAGAGCCATGATCGCGCTGAGTTCATAGGACATGTCAGGGTGCTCGCACAACTGCATTGAAACGCGATTTTTATATCATCTTGTTTGCATCGAAACACTACACGAACTTGTTCGGCCTGGACGGCAAGGGAGAAACAACATTTTTTGCGGGTTCAATTCAGGTTCTATACGCCAACCTTTCAGCAAGTACACCACGCCGTGTTACGCCAACGTTGCGAAAACTATGGCACGATCTATATATTTTGTGCCACCTCCTCATGACGATCATACATGTGTCAATACCGAAAAGCTGTTGGTTTACTCGAACCATACCAATCAGCCTACCCACCCCCTCCTGGCCATCCGCAAAAGAAAATGGTTGATTTTCGTTCTAGGGCTGAGGGGATCCTGGGACGCACGTAAAATTCCCGATCCTCTCCTTATCTCAAACAGGCAGGCATCCATGCCAAAAGCACTCCCCCCGCCCAAGTCTTCAGTTCGCTCTACTTCAACAGGCGTCTCGCGGATGACCCGTGCCAGCCAGCCGCAGCACCAGCACCAGCAGCACCAGCACCAGCCCACGATCAAAGCCATCCAACGGAGGAGCCACGCCAAAAGATGCATGTTGGCGAGCCATCGATAAACGACGCCCATCGTCCGCCGCATGAGCGATCCTCTCTCCCTGGCCCCACTTGTTTCTCCTCTCCATTCAGCCCTCTAGCGTGCGCTCCGACTTGATGCTGGCCATCATGTTCACAAGGCGGTCCTTTCTGTGCAGCCGCTCCATGAACTCTGTGAACTTGTGGCTCACCTAAACAAAATTACCACCACGGCAAAACAAGTGACCCAAACGGCGATACGACGACGGTGAAACGGCGAAACGCCACACGTTCAGGCTAGTGAGTGGACATGGCGCGCGAGACACTCAACACAGTGCTCGACATACGAAACACACACACACACACCTCCGAAGGCAGGCCCAGCGTGAGGCCGGCAAGTACCACTACAGTAAACGCGACATGTACTACAAAAACAACAGCACCTACAACAACAGACGACGAGAGCACCAAAACCCTACCTCGATCTCGTCGATCTTGGAGATGGCCACGACGCATCGGAGGGCGCTACGGATGAGGTCGTTGGCTCGTTCCACTTCAGTGCCCACCTGCTCAGCCTTCACCTGTGACACGGAACATATCACAGACAGAACAAAAATGCATTCACCTGAGAGCGTGTTGTTCAGGAACAACTGCACGCATACATGACACACCCTAGCCTAGAGGGTAACAGCCCGCCATGGCTGGGGGCGGCATGAAATCAACAAACGCGTAGATGAGAACACGGAACGTGATGAAGACAGCCCACGCCCGAATAAGAGCACAGTCGCAATGAACAAGTAGGCACAGCAGCGAGACACAGGCAGAATAGCCAGCACGACATCATACTTGAGACCCTGGAGTATGCATACAACAGAGACAACCCAAAGTGACGCACAGGGGGACAGTTGGGGGGGGAGGGGACAGAACCCTACCGTCCCACAAGCCGAAGGGACCGACTCCACCCAACAAACAAAAGGAGGCAAGGTGTTTCCGAACCATAGCCATGTAGAAAATCGATCCAACCGATCTTCGTACCCTCAAGAAAAACGTGGTATGACACGCATACACACGCACCTACTTTTATCGCATCTACCTCCGTATGCGCTCGCCCAACGAGGCTGAAAAACGGATCTGTTCTTGTTGTTATCGCATCAACAGCCGTCCCTGTCGCCGCTCGGTACCTCCTAATGTCCGTACTGGTCCAACTGACGCGGACGCCTTCTTCCGAGGTCACACATATATGACTCAAGATAACACACTCCCTTGACCGATGTTCAAAGCTTGATTTCTCAACAGCAGGAAGTATCACAGCGCCGAAAACGGTGGCGTTGGAACCGTCTCGTCGAGAGCTTTTGAAAACGTATCATTTCGTTAATGCATCCTCTTGGTCGTGGAGTAATCGAGCTTTGAAAATCGGTCCGGGGGGGTGTTATCTTGTGTCATGTACGGTGCCCACGAAAGGGTATACTAGCACACCCAAGCTATGATAAAAACACCCAAAAATATATCCACAAATTAGACGAACGGCACAAAAGAGAGAGAGAGAGAGAGCAAAAAACAAGAATCAGCACAAAGTCTAGGCACGACATCACGACAAACCTGCTTGTTGCACGTCTTCTCGAGGGGCTCGATGAGGGAGTTGAGCGAGCCAAGGACGCCTCCGGGGGAGTACTCGCTGATCTTGGACACGATCTGGTGGCAGAGCATCTGGACGTCTGGCTTGGAGTCGCCCGTGCCCTGGAATAAAACGAAGAGCATGAATGAGTCGATGAGTCGCAACAGACTTGGCGGCGAAGGAAGGGTCAGGGGAGGGGAGCGCGGCGAAGGACTGCGTGACGAAAAGAAAGCAGTTTCTGGACGCATGTCTACGTGCGCGAGATGCACGCGATAATTTTGCCTCTTGTTATCGGCCCTACGCCAGTATAGCTCACGGAAGGACAGGCAACGTGTGTCGGGAGGGCGGGTACAAGGAAGGCTTGGAAGGTCTTGCAAACTCTCCGGCCACCTCCCATACCACCTGCTCAAGGGCCGCAGCATGTCGGCTAGGACCACCTCCGAGGTTGTGAGGCCGTATACTGTTACAGTACCGGACTGAACTGCAACCACGAAATCATCACGACAAGTTTCACGGGACATCCCACATGTCAAAGGGCATCCAGATATTCACCGTCGTTGAGTGTGTGTGTGTGTGTGTGTGTGTGTGTGTGTGGAGAGAGAGAGAGAGAGAGACAGAGAGAGAGAGAGAGAGAGAGAGAGAGAGAGTTCATGCAAACCGAGTGTGGCCCCAAAACATGCAGATGCATACATACGTCGACGAACTTCCTCGTACAGCGCCGAAAACAACACAACCGCATTCCTCTACGCAGAGAAACACAGAGAAACGAGGCAAGCCTGATACAGAGCGGGGTTGAAGTATCAAGACGCCCATTGCTTGAAACAAAGTGTAAAACAGAAGAAAATCGGTAGGAACTAAACATGAACCAGCGACGACTGTTCCAACACATCCATCCCTCCACCAACAAATCTACTGGGCGCCATGTGCGAGCGTAAAAGGAGAAAAACACCAACGAGGACGGGTATGGAAAAAAGCACACGGCGCGACGGGCGAAGCGTATCGATGATCAATAGGCGCGGGATTTAGCTTTCATTTCAACCAAACAGTCTCCTTGCATAGGCTTAGTCTTGAGGCTGGGGTTGGACATACCTTGGCAAGGTAGGGCATGAGGGTGCCGACGTCCAGCCTGTTGGGCAGGTTGTCGAGGATGGTGTCGATGCACGACAGGGCCGCCTTTCGGAGAGGCTCGCCGTCGTCCACCTTGCGAGTCAAAAACAAGCAGATTGAATGTGTCTGGACTTCGCAAGAGAGAACATGTCGGTTGAATGATTTACTTAACAAGTATTTTGGTGACTGGTGACAACGGCGACGGCATCGAAAACGATTGAGCTTCAATACTGAAGCAAAAAAAACGAACAGGTGTTGTGCTTGGACTTGACCAAGAGAGAGGTCGGTTGAATTAATTGTGGTAGCAAATTCGATATCCGGTGAGAACAATTACGACTTCAAACAGGTGACTTCGACGGCATTGCTTCACCCGTCCTCCCTCACGATCTGACTTGGTCGCACAAGTGCTGAGACTGAGAGACAAAACAAGATGTCACATTACACGTCAACCCCATCGCACGTACCACACGTTCTACCTCGTCAACAACCCCACACACAAACTCCCCTTCGAGCATGTACGTCTTAGCGGTGCGAACGCACTCGAAGAGGAACACCACCGGGTTGGTTATGGGCATGACCAACGTCGCGCATCACCCCAGCGATTCATTAACCCCCCTCAACCACCAGTGCCAAACCATTTGGAGATATCTGCCATACCATGGTTGAAACTGCGGGCGGAGGGTGGATGTTGCATCTCCGTTTGGCACTGCTGTCAAAACAGAAGCAGTACCTTGTGCTTGAATGGCCCCAAGTCGACGATTCTCTCCAACTTGAGCTCAACGGTGGAGTAGAGGGCGGGGATGATCTGGCCGGGCAACAGTTCTGACACCAGGAAAGGCTGCACGAAATACAACACAAAAAAATATAGGGGCAGAACGAGCACGGGGATCATCGTTCATCAGCCTGTTTAGCAAAAAAAAAAAAAAACACGCACGAGGACAAAGGGAAAATAGTGGGAAAACCGAGCGACAGAAGGAGCAAACAGGGGCATAACACGTGAACCCTATGGCCCACCACAAACACCGAGAAAAGACGTAAGGAGGGGAATTTCGAGTGTGGACACTGAGCACGTCCCTCCTCTAGCAATGTATTTGCTGGGTGGTTAGGCCTGGTTGCCACGTGCTGAAGAGGAGCTAAATAGCAACGCGCGCGTGCGCGCGTGGTCCGTGGGGTGCTGAACCGCTTTCATTGCGGGACGAGGGAGTCTACACAAAGCACACACCCTCCCGCTGATGCCGTAGTGAAGTAAGTACAGGAGAGCCACCCGACGCGAACCTACTTGCGGCACATGCATCAAAGTAGGGTGGTCACCTTTTGACAACAAGCGCGAAATCATCAACAAACAGCACGATATTGGCAGCACGCGAGCGAAAAGTCAGAAACAAACACCAACAGCTACTGGCAACGCGCAAAGTCAGCACCAAACAAACACCAACACCACCACCAACGACAATGACGCTACGCGTTTCCTTCTGCACTGACTGCTGTGCTTGCGTTTGGGGGCACATGCACACCTGGTGGTGTACAGCGGCGTTGACCATGAGCAGGGCCGCCTTCTTCACGTCCAGGTCGTCGTTGTGCAGCATCTTGAGGAAGGACTCCATGTGGGGGGACAGCTCCTCGACGGGGGCGTTGCCGGCCATGCAGTACTTCAGAGACGTCGCCAGAGTCCACCTGAATTCCATCAAGTAGTCCGACAGCAGCGAAACGCATAGCAGCGCAATGTTGAATCAGTGCTGCTGTGCTGTGCTGTGCTGTGCTGTGCTGTGCTGCACATCCCAACAAAGTGTCGCCCTGCGGTACTGAAATGCACGGAGCAATGGGTTGTCCTGCTACGATAAAGTACTTGAGGGGCGTCGCCAGGTTCCATCTTCACTTGACCAGTCCAGCCCCAACACCAGCGTCATGTATATGGGAGCGTAGTTTGGTGCATGGTGTGCGTTGACTTTAGTATCAAAGAATGCAGCAGCGCATCGTGCTCGGATTCCGAAACGTGCTTTTGCTAAGCTTTGCAGTGCTTCTCAGAACAAATCGCACATAAACCCTATTCATATTTCGTTATGATACCGTGGAACAGAGCCGAGCGTTATCGTCCAACAATGATTCGCCAACGCGCAAGGTTTAAGAAAAAGATATTGTGTTGGTAGCACCGGGGAGATGCGCTCTCAACTGTGTAGAAATAGCAGGAATGGGCAGAGTGGCAACAGAGTCTACACAGAAGCAGCAGCAGGAGCAGCTGCACCAACAACAACACCAACATCAACAGCAGTAGCTAAATCATCGACGACTACAAGCTACGTACAGCGTGAGGGGGTTTGGCAGAATGGTAGCGAAGCCAACAAGCAGCAGCAGCAGCAGCAACAGCTACACGACCAGCACCAACAACAACATAAGCTACTCACAGCGTGAGGGGGTTTGGCAGAATGGTAGCGAAGCCAACAAGCAGCAGCAGCAGCAGCAACAGCTACACGACCAGCACCAACAACAACATAAGCTACTCACAGCGTGAGGGGGTTTGGCAGAATGGTAGCGAAGCCAACAAGCAGCAGCAGCAGCAGCAACAGCTACACGACCAGCACCAACAACAACATAAGCTACTCACAGCGTGAGGGGGTTTGGCAGAATGGTAGCGAAGCCAACAAGCAGCAGCAGCAGCAGCAACAGCTGCACGACCAGCACCAACAGCAACATAAGCTACTCACAGCGTGAGGGGGTTCGGCTTGTCTCCCGGCAGCTCCAACAGCTCCGGCACGAGCCTCTGGGGGTGCATGCTGGTCAGCACACCCAGGCACTCGGCAACCATGTTGCGGACCCCCTCTTCGTCGCTGGTGCAGTGCTGGAAGAGGTGAGGCAGCACCTGTCATTTGATTTCCATGACAAGGCGCAAAGCGAAAGGGGGGGTGTTGTCTAACACAATTCAGCTGTTGCCTTGCTCTCTGATGATTAATACAGTCGGTTGACCTCGCTTGTCGGGAGGGAAAAAAAAAATGCTTCTTCGCTTTCCTGCGACGAAGAGGAACCTGATTAATCCGGGAGCTGAGCTCGCAGTCCCGATGCATCGCCAAACATCTCAAGCCTATTCTTCACCCGCAGCGAAAATCAAACCAGGTGGATCAAGGAGCTGGACTCGCAGTCCCGATGCACCGCCAAACATCTCATGCATATCTATCGACCGCAGCGAAAAAATAATACCCATCAGGTAGAGCAGGCGAGATTATTACACCATCGGACAACAAGGCCTTAAGCCAAGCCACGCTACATGTGCCACGTCTAGAATACCCCGCGGTTCTGTAAAGCACGTCAAGTCTACCACCAGCTGTACGACACGCGTATTCCGTACCTGGTCAACGTAGGGGCCGAACTCCAGCCCCGGGGTGCTGGCGTGGCACACAATCACCTCCTTGAGGGAGGACAGCAGCAGGTACTGGTGCTTGACCGACTTCTCGAACGCGTCCAGGATGCCGGGCAGGTACCTGTCCACTCGACCCGGAGGCACGCGTGCATGCATACCGTCAAAGGCGGGGACGACGGCGGCAGCGACGACGGCGGCAGCGACGACGGCGGGCAGTGGCGGCGACGGTGGGTAGCGAGTGGTGGTGATGGTGGTGGCGACAACCCAAGTCGGAGACAGATTGTACTAGCTTTCGTCAGGGCCACGCCATCTAACGCAGTGATACAATTTCCATCGAGATACGCACCAAGAGCGACGTACATGTATCAGGGGTTGCCGTTCTCTGCTCTTTGCTGCAGCCGTTGATGCAGTTTCCCTTGGCTGGCTGTTAGCCGTGCCAAAAAACAAAACTGCCGCCGTATGTTGCCATTTTTTTCTCAACTCACATGGCCATGTTGCCGACCGCGACATGCCCCAGCGAGTACGCGGCCGCCGTCTTCGTCTCCTCGTTTCCGCCCTCGAAACGCCCCAAAATGATGCCCTACCCAGGCAAAAAAGGCGGCGCGACGGGAAAAGGGGCAGGGGTAGAGCTTGTTGATGCCTTCGCTTCGAACGACTTCCTTCCTCATGTCTTCTGAGGAGAGTTGGTGGCGTTACCGAAACCCCGATGCAGGCTGTGGTTCTGGCATTTGGTCGATCTGATCTTGTCGTACTGTGTTGGATGGCATGAACATGAATGCAATTTCACACGGTAAATCAACTCGCTCAAGCCCCTTGATTCGCTCAAGCCCGTGACTCGTTTCCTTCAGTTCCCTGATCTCGCGGTGCGGTCGACGCACAGCACACGTGACTGCTGATGCACTAGGTACGCGGGATAATACGCACGTGGGTCTACAGCTACAGTGCGGCAAGCTGGGAAATTTCCACGTGTATATGAAACAGGGAATTTGCGTGGTCCTTGAAAGACCCCGGCGTTTTGAGGTGATTTCCCTTCAGTCTTGCACGACCCTTACTTGTAACCCCAAGAGCCAACTCCGACAGGTCGGCAAGACCCCAACGATCTCACCACGGCCGGCAGCACTGCGAGTATCCCCTCTCCGTCGCGCGTGCCCCCCACCCTACCTGTGGGTACTTGACCCTACTGAGCCCCCTTTCAGATCGGCCGACGGATGCATCTACCGCCCGCCATCCCCTCACTCCCCCCCCCCCCCCCCCCCCCCCCCCCCCCCCCCCCCCCCCCCCCCCCCCCCCCCCCCCCCCCCCCCCCCCCCCATACCTGCAGGTTCTTGACCCTGCTGAGATCCGATTGTCGGCCGAGCTCCCCGATAACCAGAAGGGCGAGGTGCTTGCGGTTGTCTCCCTTGCCGTCCTTACCGTCCTTGACCTGCATGTCCTCCACCAGGCGGGCAACCGTCTCGTTCCTGGCCGCGTCGCTTGTCTGCGCGCACAGCACCGCCATACACCTAGAAACAAGGGGGGGGGGGGGGGGGGGGGGGGNGGGGGGGGGGGGGGGGGGGGGGGGGGGGGGGGGGGGGGGGGGGGGGGGGGGAGGCGTTGGCTTCAACGGCTCAAGCAATCTCTCAACAGGCGGATGAGTAGTCAACAGCCATACGCAGAATGCGTATATATGCGAAATTCCTTCTTCCCTTTCCCTTCCTCCTCTCTCTCAGGCTTTTGCGAGTAGAGCTCAAAGTTACCTGGCGATGTTGCCGATGGCTTGCTTCTGCAGCCTGTCGCCTCCGGTTGCCACCCCGTTCTGTAACGCCCCCAGCAGGTCGTCGAAGCCCATCCCCTTGTGGTTAATGCCCACCAAGATCTGCCAAAAAAAGTGTCAGCCAGAGCGAGCGTGTTGTGCATACGGGCGGTCATGCCATACTCAGTGGGGGGCCATTTACCCTTAATACTTGCGCAACTCATCACAATTATACCGTTGTGGGGGAATGGAGGGTTGGGTGGTGTAACCTCTCCCTGTAGTTGCTTCGAGAACGTACACCAGCTGTCGGCTACCGATCGCAACCTTTGCGGCGCGATGGAGGTGGAGGGAGTAAATCAAGTCACCAACACACCCGGCCCCAGCCGTCTGCCGGCTAATAGGGTTGTCATTTCTAAACAACAGAGACGCACGCGAGGGCGCTCACACGTCTAATCTGCGTGGGTGCCGTATATGTGAGTCCGCTTGGCTTCGAGCCTACTTTCGAACAGTACACGACCTAACTTTTTTCGACAGCAACGACAAGCCCGGGTCTGCTTGGTTTAGTGCCCACTGTCCCAAACATCAAACAGCACACGACCTAACTTCTTGTCGCCAGCAGTACAAAAAAACGACTAAGGAGGCGGGCTCTAACATGGTTCTCGCCCTGTGAGATGGGGGTCCCTCCGAAATGCAGCTACATTGGTGCGCTGGAAAAAACAGCGGGCACCCGGCCCTGTTCAGGGCATGACACAGCTCACAACCATGATCGCTCAGCCACTGCTGCCGCACGAAATCATCAGCACCATAGCCCCGCCCCTCCCCGACACTAGTCGACCGGCCCGTTCCGCGGCGTATTCCGTTCCATCCCGCAATCAATTCCGTGGTCGAGGTGACCAGCGAATGCTTGCCGTCCCCGGCCCATCAACCAACCGCAAGGCCTCATACGGTACCTCTACATAGCCAGCTTCCAAACACGCCTCCAATATAACTAACACTTAGATCTTCCGATGGACTACAATCTATGAATGGGTAGGTTGTGTTTCTTGGGCATGTTTTACTTGGCCCCTAAAACCCAAACACTATTATACATGAAAAACACCTGAACACATTTTCAGTGTTGGGGACGCCATGAATATTAACATGGGGTGTGTGATTTTAATTATTTTTCAGGTTTGGGGAGTACATATGATAACACGAGAGACCTCTGCATCGACCATTTTTTTTTGTCTTTGTTACGAAAAAGAAGAACAAAAAAATCTGGGGGTACCTTGAAGAGGTTGAGGAGTGATGCCAGCGCAAGCCCTTGCAGCAGCGGAGAGGTGGACAGGTCAAGCGCCCGGGGGAGCACCTCGACGCGAACGGCCTCGGCGGAGTTGGGGGACACCTCCAAGATCAAGCAGGACATCTTGAGGCTGCGTCATGAGTCATCAACGGTTTCATACACGAGCCGAGAAGGCAGAGGTCCATTGTCGTCGTCATCTACATCGTTGTGTTCACAAAAACAATGTTCCTATCTGGGTTCTGGTTCGATGAAGAGTATACTTCGTACACGTGCTATCGAATCAGCAGGGTCAGGCCGATCAAGGCACTCGGGGCCAACAACTCCATACCAAGAAGGGCCGGGGAGAAATCATGAGAGCAAAGAAAGTAGAGCGGGCGAACATACCCACGAAACGTTTTTCTTTGCCCACGATGCAAAGGTAGTGCGCTGTTGTTAGATTCAGCCAACTAGCGCGCATGACGCGAGCAAAAGAAACACGAATACAAGCACACACACACGGAAATGGGAAGCGTGTTTGCGCAAAGTTGCCCCGCACTACGACTGACACATCAAACTATGCAATGAAAAAAAAAAAAAAGAACAAGCGACCATCGCATTGATTCGTCAAACACACCGTCCATCCGCAAACAGGAGGCACAAAAAAAAAACAGAAAACAAGAGCAGGCAGAACGCGCCATGATGATCGTGCTCGTGCTTGCCTGAGATGTGCGAGGTGTAGGTCGGCGTCGGTCAAGAGCACGGCCGACTCCTTGAGCAGCAGGGAGAACAACGCCTGCGTCATCTGAGCGTGGTTGCTGCTCATGCCCGCCAGCACAGGAACAAAGCAAGACCAGACCAGACAAACGACAACATCCACCCGGAACACCATGAGGACACACAACGCGGAAGGGGCGTGGTGGGGAGGGGTGGAGTGGGAGATTTGTTAGCTCGTTAGCAAATCATACACGAGGATGATGTTCGAAAGATGCCCGAAAATTCCTTCCGCGGCAAAGGGGGGGGGGGGGGGGGGGGGGGGGGGGGGG